GGGAAACGAAGTGAGTGTTATTTCTACGTGCAATGGTTGTTGCCCTCTTTGCATATAATTAGGGTATTCAATCTGAATAATTGGAATATTCACAGTCTTATTCAAGGTAGGTGGATTATAAACCGCAGCGAAAGGCGTTCAGATTAGAACTCCACTGTGGTAATAGCGGCCTCAAAAAATGTCAAGGGTAAGATATCAAGGTTAGCTCAAACAGAGGATGTCCTTCAAAAGCTGGGAGTCTCTTTGAATAGTTTAGGTACAGTGCATTACAATTTCAATGCAATCAACTTCGACGTGTAGCAGCTATGATAGGGAAGTACTCGGACATCCAGATATTATTCGATAGACAGGCAAAAGGGACTACGGAGAGTAAGTGTACCTGTCTTCCGTCTACGAGCGTCAAGGTAAGAACCAATAATCCACCAGTAGCATCAACAAGCGGTTTGGTAGAAAAGCAGAAATCAGTTTCATTGAGTTAAGTAGTCGGCAGTGATGACGACGAAATAGTCCTGGGTGACCCACTGAAGCATAATGTGTTCCGAAGACCGACAACAACGACATCAGCAAGGTACCAGCTGGACCCTAAACGCAGAAGGCAAATCAATCCGGCATCAACGATGAAGGCCAACTGTTGCAGTGTCTTCAAATCTGCGTGGAATACGGTCGATTTGGACGATGTTCAACAATGGATCCAGTGCCAAAAATGCGGGCGATGAACACACACCAGTTGCGCTGCTTACATTTGAGATGAAGCATACATTTGTCTGCATTGCTTCAGTCAATGAGCTTGGAACTCAAAAGCCCAAAGTGACTGATAACGGTCCTTTCAGGGTCACGCCAATTTGATTTATTTGTCTCCGAGTTACGAATTTTGTTCAGGAACTATACCAAGGCATAGGTCTCGATTCCATTTGGGAGCGGATTTTGTGGGGACATTAACTACTTCTTTGAAGATGTAGATCATTCACCGTTTACTGACCAAGCCTTTAATTTTTGCCTCTCGTTCACTTTCCGACAGGTATTCCTCACGAGAAATAAGACACCTAGACTAAGTCACTTAGTTCACGAGCAATATCCGCCATGTTTCAGTTGTCGATAACCCCATCGGTGATGCGTTATCGAGCATTGCTTCTCGTGACATATAATCGACGTCGATAGATCTAACCGCGCTTGCAATCGCGCAGAGCACGGATCCCAAAATAGAACTGTTGCCTCGCAACAGCTCACTGCCCATCGAACCACTACTCACCTTTGGTTCAGAACAACCTATTGCAACGTTAGCCAAAGTAATCCAAGCCAGGTAGTCCCCGAAAGTTTCCGACGGTTTATCTTCAATCAGATGCGCGGTATCTCACACCCAGGCATCCGCGCCACCGTCAGACTAATCGCTTCACGTTTCGTCTGGAGCCACGTCAATTGCGACGTGCGTTTAAAAACTAGCAGTTTTCTTCAGTGCCAACGTTCTAAGGTGCATAGGCACACACGCCCAGCAATAGGTTCGTTCCCGACACCTGATGCACATCTTCACCACGTTCATGCAGACATCGTTGGACCTCTACCGAGGTCAGGTGACGCCATATATCTGCTAACATGCGTCGACCATTTCATGAGAGGGCCCAAAACCATCCCAATTCACGGGTGTTCCTCGGAGATTGTAGCCTACGAGTTCCTCAGTCTAAGGGTAGCACGTGGGGTTGTCCGGCAATCGTCAATACCAACCGAGGAGCTCATTTCGAAGGGGCCTTCTCCAAGCATTTAGCTACCCCAGGCAAGCAACATAATAAGAAAGCAGCCCACTACCTTGTTACAAATCGTATGGTGGAACGTTTCCATAGGCACCTCATGGTTACCTTGCGAGCGTCAGAAAACCTGCGCTGGTCAGAAGCGTTACTGTTAGTCATGCTAGAGATTCGAGCTACAGACAAAAGCGATTTGAACGCATTATCAGCCGAACTAGTTGACGTTCGTTGTCTACATCTGCCTGGCGAACTAGTCTCTCCATTAAATCCGACTAATTTTGACTATGATGATTTCAGTATAGCGCATTAAGTATCACATGCACCAGCTAAAACCCACTTCGACGAGGGAGCGTGCGGTGCAGGATCATCAACCTTCAGCGTTATCCACTTGCCCCTATGTTTTTCTAGCACAAACGCCGTACGCACTCCGTTACAACGACCATACACAGAACCACATCGCGCCCTGTGCCGATCAGGTAGGCCGATACTTATCGACAAAGAAGGCAAGCGCGACACCGTTACGTTAGAAAGGGTGAAACCGGCCTTCACTGACAAAGACGAAGCGTCATCACCACAGTCCAGTACTAGACGGTTGGAAGCCATCAAACCATTACCACTGTCAGTAGTAGAAGACTTCATTGCTCCCGAAATGCCCCCACAAACTAGCACCAGTAGGGGAGCGGTCCGTAAACCACTCCGCTTATCGAAATACGCTCCGTCGCCTACTCGCCAAACACAGTTAAGTTAGGTTTTTTAAAATACCGTTCGCTCCCTAACCCTTCATCTACATCCACCAATTGTATATTTCGATCGCTTCCTGATCTTTTTGTGGAATGGCAGTCTTACTCCGTCTTCCCGTTTTAATGCGAAAACTCACCCCTGCTTTGACGTTACAAACTCGTCTCGAAGGCTCATCTTCGGCTGTGTAGTAACACGGCAATTTCACCGTTTGTCTACGAGTCCTCTTCTATTCGAAACAATCTTTTGTTTTACCAGGTGCGGATACCTATTTACGCTTAACCTCGGAATCGTCACTTATCGCGGTGAATCACGCCACCTTATTGCACGTGTAAACATTTCGCTGCAGGACTAGCTCTATAAACCGTTGGTCACGCGTTGTCCGTCTTCCAATCTGTTCGGAGCACTATGTGTATTGCTCTTCGCCGTATCCAGGACCGCTGGGATAATTCGTGTTTAGTTATAATATATAGCGCAAGCTATCTAAAAGCTGGAAAAATTGCCTACGAGACTAGCGATACGTTTGAACTTCTTCAGTGTAGGGAAACCACGGGTGCAGTTATTTTGAATTTAGTGTGAGTCGTGTGCAGGTCTCACTGACCCCCGCTTGGTTCATGGTTGCTTTGAGTATTTTCTCTGTCTTGCAGGTGACTGGAATCCCCTCCACGGAGGTTTTACTGTGGGCAGTGTTCCCTACCTCATGTCAGTTAGTGGCCAGGCATTGGTAAGACGTTAGTGTTGCAAGACCTCGGACTGCGTTCCTCGGAGTCAAACTCCTGCCAGTGTGTTTCGATTGGATTCAGATCTGGCGTCGGTCAGTTCAGTTCAGTTCAGTTCATTTTGCATAGGACAGGAAATGGCCACGGCCAATCGACCGTCCAAAATTCCTTCGGTGGTATGCGGTCAAGTATGGCACCCACCACTGCGAAAAGTAGTCCGTACTTCCTGGTTGAAAAGAAGAAGGAAAAGGTGCCTTATCTCACCTCCAAGGCGAGAGATTGTTACACGTGAACGTTCCTCTTCCAGCCTACATCCCAATACATAGCAGAGCGAAAACAAAAACATGCAACCGGAGTGACCCGCTCCTAATCCTCTCGTTTTCTCAAGTCACTAGCTTGTCAGACCTCCACTTCAGGAACAAGTTCACACCACCGTTCGTCCAGGGCCGTCTTAAATGCTAGCACCGTTAGCAGTTCTACTAGCTCCACAGGTAATCTGTTCCATATGTTGACTAACCTGTTGCTGAAGAAGTGTGACCGGGATACTAATCGAGACCGGGTTTTGGCTAGCTTCATTTTGTGCCCCCTGTGCGGGAATCTAGCGCCTCTTGGAACAGGGTTTCTGGTCTAATACCATACAAACCTTTCATTACCTAAATACTTCTATCATATCTCCCCTGAGCCTTCTCTTTTCTAAAGAGAGTAGTCCCAGGTTCTGAAGCCTTTGCTTGTAGCCTTTACCTTGATGACCCTCAACCATTTTCGTTGCCAGTCATTGAACGCGCTCTAAGCAGGCGGCATCCTTTTTGAAGAAAGGTGACCATGCCTGCATACAGTACTCGAGGTGAGGTCTAACTATAGCGTTGTAGAGAGGCAGCAACACCTCCGGTTTTCTGCAAGACAATGCTGACCTCAATCTGAAGTGTTTTCTACGAGCCTTATTCGCTGCTGCTACGCACTGCTGGGCCCAGCGGAAATCGGAGGTTACGAAATACCCAGTGTACTTCAACCAATTCGCACTTGAGTGACGCGTAGCCGAACCGATACGAATCCCGAAGCAAAAACACAATTGATCCGCAATGTTCTACGGTACTGAATTAACGAAATCATTACAAAATGTACAATAAAGCAAACTTCCAATATGCGGCCAAAAGCACTCAAGCAAGTGAACCAAATATGATGTCCAGAGAGAGGCAAACAGTCGCTCCCGTTCTCAAACCACGCCAAATTCAAATGTGCTGGGCATCGAATTAATAATAATAATAGATGTATATTTCACGAAGCCCGTGAGACATGCCCAATGCATGATCAAGTGTTCAGAGCGAGTATACGTACAACAACAGCGTAAGTACATAGGTAGACAATAATAAAATTTTAAAAAAATTGTGGGGATCAGAATGAAAACACTGATTGAAAGGAACACAAACCGCACAAGGTCATAGACGAATTTATGAAGAATGGAGGATACAGTGAAGAATACATGTCACTAGAACTGCAAGTATTAGTAAAGCTGGTCTCGAAAAGATTGGCCGTAAGGCGAAAGTGTGGAAAGTAGGAAGAGGAGGTCTGTAATACAAATGCTGCTCGATGGTAGAGGCATGAGGACAGCAATAGAAAGTGAGGAACAGCAAAACAATACGTCGGTAAAGGAACATGTCTCACTCTGTCCTGCAATACAACTCGCTTTTGGAGACAAGTTCAGTGGGTTCAGGTTTTCAATCAATCACGAGTGGTTTGGTTTATTTAGATTAATTAGGCTTTGGTCGCTTTGATGTGGGACTCACTACACGCTAGACACCTAACCTTAAAACACCTTGTAGGTGAGGCAGGGGGTGTAATCCACAACCTGGTCCGGAACGCGGACGTATGTAGTCAAAACGGTGGAAACAGCGTGCCCAACAACCATTTCCGGAGCCAAATTGTCCACTGCGGGTGAGGACCCCAAGCCTTCGTCACGCCCAAACCAAACGAATCCGGAACAAAGAGGCAATATGCAGTAGTCTGGGGTAGTACCCAGCTGAAAAAGGGGAAGGAGAGCGGGAAACGATGCATGCGGCGGAACAACACAGAAAATGAGTGGCCACCAAAAAAGTTGTATTTACATGATAGAGTACGGAGTCGACTACAGATTATTAAACCACAAAACATGTAAGAGTATATACCACACAGGATTGTGTTCCACGGATGCTGCTTTGAAAGTGGTTCCGTGTACTGGTAACCATAGGTTAGGACGGGTACACAGTTACTTGGTTAGCGTGTGCCGCAGACGAGTACGGATAGGATAGAGTGGATACAATTAAACAAAAATGTTGCTTAGGGATATTTGGTCACATTACTGGTCAAAGTATGTACCGGCTCGAATAATCTTTCACCGATCGACCTTTCAGTTCGAATCAGTGAACTAGTGATATTGGGTTGAAAACGTGTACACAGCCACCTGATTTGCGTTTGTCACGGTCGAGGACGGAGAGGATTGAGTGAAAACAATTCGAGAATCAAATTGCTTGAAGCTATTAGGTCACAATACTTGTGGATGTATGTACCGGTCAGGATTGTGTTCCACGAATCCAGCTTTGAGGCTCGTTCCTTGTACTGGTTGTAATGGTTCGACAAAATTTACACAGCTACCTGGTTTGCATGTGCCAATGTCGAGAACGGATAGGATTGGCTGAATACATTTCGAGAAACAAGTTGCTTGGGGATATTAGGTCACATTACTTGTGGAAGTTTTTACCTGACCGAATGGTGTTCAACGATCCCAGCTTTGAGGCAGGTTCCGTGTACTGGCCGTAATGGTTCGACAAAATGTACACAGCTACTTGGTTTGCATGTGCCACAGTCGAGGACGGAGAGGATTGAGTGAAAACAATTCGACAAACAAGTTGCTTAGGGATATTGGGTCACAATACTTGTGGAAGTATCTACCTGACTGGATTCTGTTCCCAGGATCCTGCTTTGAAAGTGGTTCCGTGTAATGGTAACAATCGGTTGAGTATGTGTACACAGCTACCTGGGTAGAATGTGCCCTGACCGGGAACGGATTAGATTGGTTGATTACATTTCGAAAAAAAGGTTGCTTAGGGACATTAGGTCACAATACTTGTGGAAGTATGTACGGTGAGGAAGTGTTTCACGAATCCAGTGTTGAGGCTGGTTCCGTGTACTGGCAGTATTGGTTTGAGAAAGTGTAAACAGCTACCTGGTTTGTGTGTGCCACAGTCAAGGACGGATAGGATTAACCTAAAACTTTTCGCGAAGCGTTTTGGTTAGTGATATTCGGTCGCATTACTTGTGAAAGTATGTACCGGCTCGACCAGTGTTCCATCGATCGACCTTTGAAGTCGAATTACTGTACTGGTGATATTGGGTTGAGTAAGTTTACACACCTTTCTGGTTTGCGTGTGCCACAGTCGAGGACGGAGAGGATTGAGTGAAAACAGTTCGAGATACATGTCGAATACGGAATATTAGGTCACATTACTTGTGAAAGTGTGTACCTGACTGAACAGTGTTCGACGGATCCTACTTCCAGGCTGGTTCCTTTTACTGGCAGTAATGGTTTGAGAAAGTGTACACAGCTACCTGGTTGGTGTGTGCCACAGTCGAGGACGGAGAGGATTGACTTCACACTTTTGGCCAAGCGTGTTGGTTAGTGATATTGGGTTGCATTACTTGTGAAAGTATCTACCGGCTCGAATATTGTTCCACCGATGGAGCTTTGAAGTCGAATCACTGTAATGGTAACAATGGGTTGAGAAGGTGTACACGGCTACCTGGTTGGAATGTGCCACGGACGAGAACGGATGGGATTGGTTGAATACATTTCGAGAAACAAGTTGCTTGGGGATATTAGGTCACAATACTTATAATAATAATAATAATAATAATGTATATTTCACGAAACCCGTGAAGCATGCACAAGG